TTACATAGAGTTTGAGTCTCAGGTAACAGTCTAGGATCCTTTATTTTATTGGATTTAGATATAGTAAGAACATTTTATTGGATCAATAACTACTTATTGATTAAAACCTTCAATAACAACTTTATTGAATGATAAAAGTATATCTGTCATTTTCAAACTATGAGTTTTAGGACATAAAACCCAACACCCGCATCATCTCATTATATGTCTCATCCATGTTGCGCACTCGGTTACGCATGTCATCTAACTCCCGCTGGAGGGTAGCGAGAACCTCATGGTCCGCAACTGGCGTGGCCCTTCGATAAGTCTTTCTAAAGGTCCCACCTCGACCTCGGTTGGTCTTGCTAGGCTTCGGATGTGCTGGGGGCAGGATAGTATTAGCGTTGCAGGTGGACCTCCGAGGTGGCTCCATTTCTTGCCCTGCCCGAGCCTGATCTTCAGTTAACTTGGCGTCGACTTCACGTTGAGCATCATTATTCGCATTTAGAGCCCTCCGTTCTGCGGTATTTGTAGAATCTTCTGAATGAACCATCTCGGATCAGACTGCTATTGTTGTTGGGACGACTTGTAATGTCTTCCCTACATATGGCGTCAAATGTTTATGCAAGAAATTGCACAACGTCAATCTAGCTCGAACCCGATCCTTGCTCCAACCTGAAACGCTAAGGGAATATCTGCACAAGAGGGCAAAATCTCCGACGCTCAAGTCAGTAAGCAGCTCGGACTCTATATTAAGTTAGAGGAGAAATTCGATACCTGATGGTGAAATGAGGCCCTCTATTTATAGGTTTAGCTCCGATAGGCGTCGCGACAGGCGGTTACCTTGGTCGGATTTGAGATCGAATGTGTCGGACTCGAGCAGATCGAACTCGAACACTTTCCTTGTAAAAGACAAGTTGATTCTTGATAGAAAATAGGAAAGTCTTCCACCTTGGAAGGTTCCGAGATGGAACTCCGTAAATCGTTCTTTCGGATCTTCCCAAGATGGCCAATCCCTGTCCTCCACGTGGCAAGGGGGTTTTTCCTCCCAACAAGGTTGATGGAGTTGAATTTATGGCCTCATAACATGTAGAAGTCAAGGAAACAATCCAAACGAAGTTGGTAAAAAATTCATTTCGGTATATTTTA